CCATGAATGTGCCTGCGGATGTCTGCCCTTAGTGTACATGAGGTGATATGCAATGCATCAACACACACACACACATATAGACATATATATATATATATATGCGTCCCAAGTTAGCATAGTCATGGAATATCATAGTGTTTTTTTAACCATAGCTATATCATGGTGGTACCCGTCCCGGGCAACCGCAGGCGATCAACGCGCCCGCGCGGCAGGTACGGCGATGGGATATTCACAAACTAAATGGAGGTTTCAATGGGACTTTTTCCAGGGAAAATTCATGGGAAAATCATGGGACAATTCTCTATAAATGGAGGTGTAAGAGGTGTAATGGGAAATCAACTATAAATGGGGTACCTCAAATCTTCATAGATTGCAATTTTGATGGGAAAATCATCTACACTGGGTTTTCCAGCAAACCATTTTTGATTACTCGAGGGCATTTGATTTTCTATGTTCTATATTGTTCTATCCCATGTAGTAATTGGCCAGTGATTTCCTGGTAGATTGGTGGTTTAAAGTGTGATTTGTTTTTTCATCCTAGGCTCAGAGTGGGAAAGAACTGGCTTTGAGGATGATGCCAATAGAGGACTATTCTGGCAGCTAATGCCCCCAAATCACAAAATTTCTTCAGTGATTTGTCCCTGAAATGATCTGAAATATGAGGAAGAAAAAACATCACATATTGATAGATTCCCCAGATATAAATATTGCCCGCAGAACCAGACGTTTGCCCATGTTCACATCATCTCCCATTTTTTCCACGGTTCTCTCATCCCTCCATTTTTCCATCATTTTTACCATTGGTTCCATGATGTCGCATTTTCCCACGATGTACCCTATATTGAATTAACATCTGAGATATTATGGTGTATTTTCCCGTCAAATTACATCATTACAGAAGGATCTAAATCTGCCAGCCCTCAAACAATACGTACAAAGGTCTTATAATTGAAATATTATGTGATATGTTCTTCCATATGTTACATCATTGTATACAGAAGGATATATATAATATATAATATATTATATATTTTATATTATATATTCTATATATAATATAAAATTTATATATTATATATATTATATATTATATATTATATATAATATATATATATATATTATATATAATAATATATATATATATATATATTATATATATATTATATATATATTTATATTATATATTATATATTATAAATGTTATATTTTATATTATATGTTATATATTATATATTGTCATATTATATATTATATATTATATATTGTTATATTATATATTATATATTATATATTATACTATATATTATATATTATATTATATATTTTATATTTTATATATTATATAATATATTATATATTATATATTTGCCACCCCCTCAAACAATACGTATAAAGGTCTTATAATGGCTATAGTCTATCTTATCCAAAATACAAGTGGTGCAAAAGGGCCGCTTTCTGCGAGAAAACCTAGGATCCGGGAGAACCAGAAATTTGCGTCAAGAACCCTTCCAAGACTTCGTGGGGTCTGTTGAAAACTCGGGTCGTTTTACCCGGAAAAGCATAGGCTCCAGGCAAGCGCCCGGATCTGTGCGAAATATTGATAGACTTTCAACAAACCATATTTCCATAGATTTCCCAAAAAAACTTCGATACTCGATCTGTGTTTGGTTCCCCACTTGCCAGGTGAGGGTCTCTGGAGTTTATCATAGACTTTCCCACCTCTTCTCCTCTTCTCCTCCTCGTCTTCAACCGCGAGCTCCAGATCTCAGTGGGCACTGAGAGAATGTCAGAATAATTAAATGTGCTTAATGTGCTTCCAGATGGCATGTCAGAAACTATGTCAGAAAAGTGTTTCAGGGTGGAGATCACTAGACTCGAAGAAAGCAATTTTTGCCAGAAATTGACGCAGCCTCCCAGCCGCGTTTTTGGAGGAGCCATTGATGAAAGCGCCGCCCGCTTCAGGGACGACATTCTCGGCACAGGACCCGAGGGAGATCTGAGTAGGGCGGCTGAGGGGTTTGTGCTGAAGATGTTTTTATGGATTCTCATGGCTTTATCATGATTCATCAGCTGATCTTTTACTTTTTTATGATCGTCGTAAGAAAATCTATGAAAACAGGATGCGCCCAATTACAACGGATCCGTTATCATTAAAAATTACAACTGTTTGGGGTGGCCCCCCCCTTTGGGACACACCCATATCATAGAAGCGTTGCAATCCCCATGCATATTTGGCGGCATAAGTTATATCCTTTACTTGGTTTTCTGGCAGAGATGTTAAAATACTTGTTTTTGTATGTTTTTGTAGGTTTTGCCGTGTTTTCCGACTCTTTGTTTAACGCTGGAAGATTATTAGGCGACCCTCCAAAGACCGAGATGTTTTAGGTCCCAGTAATAGGTGAAGGGAAAATGTTCTTTAAAAAAACGCATATGGCACATGTGTGATCGAAACAACCATCGTAGTAATTATGACCCAGCATTCACCCTGGTGTTGGGGGATTGTTTTTCGGTTGTACAGGAGTGCGTTCGGGGTATCTCTCTAATTTGGCCCCATGAATTTCGCCCAACTGGCCCTGCGACAGTTGTACTTGGCTGCCTTTAGTGGACAATTGCATTGGTTACCATTTGGTAATAGTTAGCGTAGCTACGGAAAAGTGGAAAAACAATGAAAATCACCATTTCAAGTCAGTAAATCATCGAGTTAAATTTTAAATGGATCATTTTCTATAGCCATGTTAAATGCGGGACTGCGGGACAGTAGTTAGTTAGATGAACTGAACTCTTGGAGAAGGCGATGGAGAGAGAGAGTTAGTTAGATTTCAGACATTCCCTTTTAAAAACCTAGGCACGTTTCCATTCACCACCAGCTATGGCCGCCCTGCACGCCATGAGAGGCGCCTAAGAAAGCCCCACCGGTCCTTCCGAGAGCGGAGGAGATCTGACGTCAAAATCTGCACACGGGGTCCTTCATTCGGCTGGCAGTTTCGCATTGATGTTTTGGTTTCCGTCCCGAAAAAAATACCAAAAAAAAACAGAAATCAATTACAGTAATTCAGGTAGATTGAACTAGGTTCGGAATCTGGCTATTGGTTATCCAAATATATGCCTTTCCCTTCCCTACAAGAAGGCCCCCCTCATTGTTGCCCCATCTGAAAGATTAGGAAGATAGATATGATATAATATGTATATCTATTGTCTATCTATCTATCCATCCATCTGTATGAGTCCAATCGTTAGCCTACTTACAGTCCAGGTAAACTATCGATCTATTTGATGGGTGCTACAGTCAGAGTTTCTTACGAGCCTGCCCCCGAGTACAGATATTAATAGTTATATATGTTAAGTTACTAGTTAATAGTTATAGTCATAGTTAAGTCCAATGTTTAACTATAGTTATGGTTAAGTTCTGTTATATAGATATACTACGATTACTATGATATACAAATGTTAACAGTTAAGGGCTCCGAAAAGATAGAACAGCTTTTTGCAAGATCAGATGACGTATGAAGTATTCATAGTTCCAGGCCCGCCTTGTTCTATCTATTCGGGTGATTGAGATACTGTGCAGATATGATTTATATATATATATAGATACAATATTTATATACGATATCTATATATATATATACATATATATACACCCTCTGGCAGTCAAACATGGCAATATATGGCAATTGAAAAAAACATAAAATTCCAATTAAAATGGTTCGATGATTTTCCCAGCGAACTAACCTTCCCTTTGGGATTTCCCAGCTTGTCAAGGAGGCTGAAATCCTTCCCGTGCCGTCTCAACCTCCACCTGGACCTGATGAGCTGCAGGTGGGGAGGGTAAGAAATGGTAAGGCATGCCTAGAAAAAAAAATATTGCAATAAGTAGCAATGGTTAGCAATGTGTATTGTATCCATTTTTGTTTGGAGTTTCTTTACTTTGAAACTTGAAATCAAATCCCGAGAAAAACAAAGCACAATTGCCATTGAAGGTGTTGAACATGGCGATTTTGCAATGGAACATGGCGGTTTTTGGGCCAGTCAGGGGTAAATCTAATCATTGCTGGTTACATGTCAGATATCCGGATTAGCTATTGATTTGTTATCCCATGTTATATCTCTTATTCTTAGGTGATAGCCACCAATGGAACCCTCCGCCTTTCTAGAACATACTTGTATGATCTTGTATGAAATAAGTAGAATCTACATCAATCTTGAAATAATCCTCAGTCCTGGGAATCAATGTTTATGGTTTTTTGGATCCCCCTCTATGCATACATGCATACGTGATCATACATGTATACTATACAGTAATCTAAAGCAATATAGATCTGGCCGCCCATGGAAATCCATCACTTGTAGATCAGTTTCCTAAGAAAACCAATCAATTCCCATACGTTTTTCGGATTTTCCGCGTGTGTTTGCTTTGTTGATTTAGGGTCCTGCAGTTGGGGTATTTGCCACAAGCCTCCCTACATTTTTCGAATCGCACAAGGCCAATCGCCCTTCTCCAAGCCTGGAGGCTGCCGCTTATGGTGGCATTGTCAATTGATCCAAGCGTGAAGGGGTTGCTGCCCTACCCTTTGGAAATTTAGCATAGCTATGGAATATTATGGAGTATCACCATTAAATGTTGGGTAAATTGGCTTGAATTGGCCATGGGGGCCATGTTCCATACGTTGAATCACCAGAGGGCGACCCTCTAAGTCTGGGCGTCTTGGGCGTCTCGTCTGCCGGCTCAAGTGTGGAGACTTTCACCTTGCCCTCAGCAGGGCATGGGGGTGCAGCTTCACTAAGTGTTTCAATGATTTTAAATGAGGATGTTAAATAACCATAATTGTAGTATGATGGTATGATGGTATAATACTATGTTATGGTTAATTGAGTTATTTAAATTTTGAGGATGGTTAATTTATTTTCAAATAACTCAAATAACCATTGTTACTCATAGTTGTAGGATGTTGGGTGACCAACTTATGTGGTTAGAATCCCATGGTATATAGTCATAGTCATTCTCCCAGCTGCACTCCCGGGTGATTTTCAATGGCAAGCGCGCCAGTGTTTCACAAAACCGAACAGCCTTGGCCTCAGTGGCCATGCGATTCCGAGGAAGAGGTTGAGGCGGTTGAGGTCGTTCAAGCGAGCAGAAAAGGAACCATCTCGGTTCCCATCTCGCCGGGGTCAAGGCTCTATGAAAGGGCATTTAGTACTGAGACCAAGCAATGCAGTGTTTCTTCACACGTGGTCCTGCAATGTGGCGGCCTGGTGCTGGCCAACGGGAATGAAGAACAGAAACATGAGACTTATTCCGAAGAAGCCTGGCTTAGCTGATGAGAATATATTTTTCCTTTCTCAGTTCATTCACTATTTGATGCTATTTGGAGAATCTACTCGTGATAATATTTTGCTCCGCTCGTAGTATGTTTACATTTTTTTCATGCTTTTCCATTCTTCAGGGACACCTGACACCTGGATCGCAAACCCAAGGAATTTGATGGACAAAAATGGGACTTCTTCATCAGTCACAATTGGTCCGTCAAAAGGTGGCAAAAGTTCCTGGCCTTGTGTCTGGTATGGAGTGGCAAGAAGGCTCTCATTTTCTGCGTTTGTGCTCAGTTGATTTTCTTTACACTCGTATCCACAGGCATTTTGCCCGTGACCCATAGCCAAATTGACGGGCATGAGATCAGCATTTGGTGCATTGGCAGCTGCCTGGTGACGTATGCTGCGACATTTCTAGAGCACCACGAGGTCTTAGATCTTTTGGGCATACCTGGCTACCGGATTTTCCTGGATAAGGTTTGTGTCGACCAGTCTGATGACCAGAGGAAGCGCCAGGGGATCCAGTCCATCACCGCTTTTCTGTATCATTCCGAGGCGTTGGTGGTTCTCTACTCTGAGCTGCTAGGATATGCTTGGATCCGACTCGGCAAGCCAGCTAGCTAAACTAGTGTAGGTAAATTGCTGATGTGTTTGTAGATGTGGTTATTAAGATAATATATACAAACGTTGGTGTATATATACCTGGAAAACCATAAAGACAATTTTTTCTGTCCGTACGGGTTTGGACATTTTTTTGTCCGTTACGTGTTTTTTCCAAATACGGTCATGTCAGGCTGCAAACCCTCTACTTACAGGTTAATTTAGTTAATGGTTTTCCTGAACTCTTGGATTTGTCGGACTGGTTCCGACAGTATGAGTGTCTCGTCTAGAGACAGTATTTGGGGCAGTATGTTGACATTTGCTTACTGTTTTTTTCAACATGATGTTGAAAAAATACTGGTATTTTATGGGTACATCCAAACTTGGTGGGAAATATGGCAGTATTTGTGGCCAGATTTGGGTGCCCGATCACGACTCCCAATTTGCTCCACTTTGGACTGAAATTCCTCTTTTGGAAACTGTCGGAGGATGTCCGAACACGGTGTTGTCAAAGGATTTGAACAACCCTTCACAATCAAAAACCAAAGTACGCAATTGAACAAAAAAAACGTCCATTACGGGTAAAACCCATAATGGACAAAAAAAATGTCGATACGGTTTCCAGGTATATATATATATATATATATATAGCGAGAGTAGCACCCCCACTATCCCCCGCAAAAATGAAAATTTGCTTGGGAGGTAGCTAAGGTCAGCCATGATCGGCTTTGGGAGATCATTGGTTCTCCTGTGGATAGTTGGAGTATATGGCTATGGATCAATACCTTAAACGAATGTTTAGGGGGATGAACATGATGAACATCCATAAATCCCAGCTATTTTTATGTGAAAAACGGGGATTGCATCGGTTCGACCTTTGGCCATGTTGTAGTTGAAGGGTTTCAACATGTTGGCCGAAGAATTTGGCATGAAAGCTAGTAGATGTTGGAGACTTAGCACCTCTTTGGTGTTACTTTTGGGTCTCACAAGCGGTAGATAGGTTCGTCCATATTCCTGTTTCGTTGCAAGGATCTCCTGCAGGCACTGTTTGGGCACATAAATTCCAACTACCTCGCTGGCTTCGCTGGCCAGCCTGAGAGGAAATGATGGTTTATATGATTTTAAGCGAAAGCGGCGTATATTGTACGTTATCGTGATTTACTTTTTATGCGATACCACACCACACTATACAATACACAAGCATTTCGCAGTTCATATCGCTGCACAAATCAAGCGCAGGCTGGTGAGTGACCACAATTTTGCGCCGATTTGGGATGATTGCAGTGCTGCATGGGCCATACGTGGCCATACTCACATTAAGTCATCAATCTAAGGATTTCAACCAGCAATGACGATTCTGTGGCCTCCATCCAATTCGCACATATGTTTCAAGTGGGTTGAAACCACCGAGCAGGTTTGATGTACCAGAGAAATTGTCATCCAACGCTAAGGATATATCTCAAGAGGCTGTGGACCGTATTTGAACTCACCACGTTCTTAGCCATGAAGCCAGAGGGTCAGCTTGTGGTGCAACCTGTGATCCTTGGTCCTGTGGCGGTTTACTTTGTCATCATCCAGTGCTTGCGCATTCCCGAAATGTTTCTGGTCCCAATGGCCCACGACCAACTTCTGAGCCTGGAGCTCCTGCCAGCCTTGGGAGCCTATGGCATCCTGGAGATGTTCCCATTTTCTTTTGTCCGCGGCCATGTGGAAAATCTAGTGAGATCTAGTGAAAATATTGAACTCCTTAAAGAATTGGCCTCAGGTATCATGGCCCTGGATCTCTTGAGCCTCCTCCTTGGTTCCGTCTTTCTGCGCCGCTGGGGCTGCTCTCGCAGCGGTATGGCCGAGCAGCTCCAGGGCTTTACCTTCGAGGCTGCGGAGTGCGAACTGCCAGCGGATCGACTGGAAATCTTGGGCGCCATTAAGGAGCTGGCCAGGAGAGAAGGGCTGGTGCCGCGGGATGCCTCCACAAGGGTCGGGCCAAAAAAAAAACATTGACGTTTTGGTGTGGATGAAATCATCCATGGCCTTTTTGTTCACGAGGAACACACAAATCTGACATATCTTGCATGCCTAGAGTGGAATTTATGACTTTTAAGGCCAAAGACAGCATCTAATATCTTTTGTGGTCTTTAGCATCCATTCTTGCCATTTCTTGCCTTGCCTTGGGCGTTTGGCCCTTATTCTGGGTGTCGGAGAAATAAAACAGAAGGGGACTGAATCCCTGCAGGTTTGTGCCGAGAGTTTCGAGCGCTTGGTACATGAGATCGTGCCCAAAAGGATGGCGGGAGCCTTCCGACTCACTGGGATCACTTGTCAGATCCATGGCTGGATTCAATGATTTTGTATGATCTTTTTAGGGTGTGTCTGCAAATGTGTAGAGACAAGCATGGTTACCCAATGGAATTAAGCGGAGTACTTTATTTTCAGACACGCCTTTTGATTTTCTCACTGCCTAGGGAAATTTGGGCAACTTACAGGGACTATGGTTAATTCTTAGGTTGCTTTCCAGCAACTCCAAGGATCGCATGTCTCATGTCCTTGCCCTCCATGGCATTGGTCTTGGACCTGTCGGCGGTGAGGCTTCGCAGTCTTCGGAGCACGCAGGATGCAGGGTTGCTTCTTGTGATGGAAATTCTGCAAGATGCCATGTTCGAAGCCCTGATGCCAATCTCCATTGGGCTGGCTGGAATCGTGACGGGGATCAAAGCTGGAAGCTGCTGCCGGGACTTTTTTTCCATCACCTGTTGCTTTCTCCTCTTGGTGCTGGGCATTTGGGTGCCAGGCGCCAATTTGATGCCGCACCTGGTCTCTTACCTGCCGGGCTCGGAGGTCACACAAGTCCTTCTGCTGGGGTCAATTTTGACTGCGCAATGTGTGGTTCTTTATTTTCTTTACTTCGACCGAGCTCGTCGTTGGCTATGCTCGTAGCATCGTCGTAGCATCTCGTAGCTACCAATTGGTACAACGCTATCAAACCCATATGTGCCGTGCACAGCTGCTCTATGTAATTTGCCACACGCTTCGTGAAGAAAGAAAATGGAATTGCTGGCTGGTACACATCACAGCTTCTTGAACTTATCCGAAATGGTTGCAAGTTGTCACATCTTGTTGATGCCGATGATACAACCTTATGTATTCGCATATATTGTTGTTGCACACGCATATGCACAGAGTGTTTGCTTAGCAGCGGGCTGACCATGGCACATGGCGTGAGACTTTCTATTGGCTTTGACTTCTTGCAATTCAATTGCCCTCCTGTATATGCTTCAATGTTCCACTTACAAGGTCTTAAAAGCCTTTTCCTTCACAAATCCGAAAAGTTCAGACTTCTTTCCAGAATTGCGATGACAGTCACATCGAGTTTCACCACAACCCATGAAAATCCATGGGTGCAAATACTTTGGTTCCGTCATTGGACCGTTTCACCGCAGATGTCGCGTCGATGGAAATGGATCTGGTGGGAGCAGTTGAGCCTGGAGAACCCCAGTCAAGGTAGTGCCAAGACCCAAGGAAAATCCTGTAGATTTCAAACGATTTCACAAGGCAACCTGGTTGGTGGTTTGGAACATGTTTTATTTTTGCATATATTGGGAGTGTCATCGAATCCCAACTGACGAACTCATATTTTCAGAGGGGTTGAAACGTGTTGAAACTACCAACCAGCAACATATTCGAACATATTTGAACTATATTGAGCTTGGAGTGCAATTTGCTCATTACCGGTATGAAGTATGAATGGTAGGCTCCACCCTGCAGGTTGGATCAGCTCAGGACGGGCAGCAGGGCATCTTGGGCATTCTGTACCTGGGAAACAACTAGGGATGCCAATTCAAAATACCTGAAATTAATCACACATGCTATCCGATATCTACTTTCAATATGTCAATATGTTCAATCATAGTCATACTCATGGTTTTCTTGAGGGTAGCATGCCTAGGATCTTACCCACAGCCATTTCGTTTTCAGTACATGATTATAATGGTAATTGGAGCACATCATGAGATAAAAGCACCAGTTCCCTCCCTGGCATTCGTATTGCAACTCCGCAAGGTCAACAAAGGTGCGGAAGACGGGTGTTGCGGAT